CTCATATTTTTTGCCAGCTACTAGCAGTTTCATACAGAATGTAAAGTTAAAGTTGGTGGACAGGTTGCAAGCTTCTAGAAGTTCTCAGAAGTTCCACATCCTGAGGATGAGTAGATGTAGGATCCTCAAAAAGGAGAGCAGAGGAGAAAATAAGATCCATTTCATAATGAGTCTACTGGATTAGCCTCTTCCCTGACCATGTTAGCTCCTGGTCTGAAGGAGACAGTTAGGCTGTGTGTCTTCCATGCTTATGAAAACTAACCCCTCTAGAAGGTACAGAAACAACAGCAGTAATGGTGATGATGCTGATTAAGTATTTGCCATGTTTGCCTTACTAGCTCCTTTATATATACAGTATCTAAGTTATAAATACTACCAGAAACATAGGTATTATTTTTAATTTGTGCTTGAAGAAATGGGCATGGAATACCTTACTTGAGGTCACACAAGGAGTATGTAACTGAACTGGCTTGACAAACTCAAGCCTTTGGAGCTTCAAAGACCATGTCTTGTCGCAACTCCTAAAGTGTGATGCTCTACCAATCCATGAAAATCCCATTAGAATACTTTAAATGGGTATCTTCCTTATTTTGACTTCTTTTGTTTCTGAGGAGGGGATTACTGGAGAGATTGGGTTCAGGAAGATATAAGGGAGATGCACTCCTCTGTCCGTAGAGTCCTTTCCTCATGGTGTAAACCATGAGTGGGGAAAAATGTTTCCAGTATCTATTATTTTGGGGGCTGGGAGAGTTGCCATTGAGTTGTCTTAAAGTCAGTTCAGCAGTAGGGGGAAACTGCCCGGGGTGGAGGGGAGCACATCCCATCAACAAGAGTACCTGCATAATGAACATTTGTATACCTAACCTTGAATTGTACCCCACATCTTCAAAATTAAAAATTAAAAAAAAAGTCAGTTCAGGACTCTGCTATCAGTCTTACATACTGTATAGATATAAGACTTTAGAGTCTTACAACCAGGCTGAACTCTGATTCCTTATCCCTGAGCTCCAGGGTACTCTTCATCCCTGTCTCCAGGAAAACCGTTCTGATTTCTATTTCATGTCCTCAGAATAACTGCAGACACCAGGGAGGCCAGGTACAAGTGCAAGAGCAGGAGTTGGACCCAAGGGATTATGACTCAAGAGGCATGTTCTTCCCCCTTAGACTCATATGGACCAACCTTGTCATGCTAGGGACAGCTGTGCTTAAATTGAGATTCAGTGCACATTCTTCTGGGACAAAGCCTGATAGTATCCTTTTATATTGAGAGAAGTAAGGCAGCTTAGAGTCCAGATGGAACTCCCTGGACCCCTGAGCAGAATGCTTATAAGTGCAAGGCCTCTGAGGCATTTGCAGAACCCCAGGCTCTTCCTCTGATGTGTGTGAGTCCAAGCAAGATCATCTTATAAAGGGGAATCTAGAGACGGAACTGAGGAGTCCCCAGTTTATAAGGATGTGCAGAGCTTGGGAAGCCAACTTAGGTCTTGCTCCCATTTAAGGTTTCCAAGGTAAGACTCAGTGAGAAGGAATTCTCTAGGAAGGGGACCTGAAAGTGGGATCCATACAGAGCCACAAACAAGGAGGTTGAAGAAGACTCTAGTTCACTAGTGTCAATACAAAACCCTCTAAGATACTTCCAGAGTCTTTAAATAGGCACAGTATTTTATTCTCCTTCAACGAAGCCAGGTATTATGGGAGTACAGGACTTCTGATACAGAGCAAGACAGGCACAACTGCTACTTTTTGGAACTTACATCCTGTTGCCGGAAACACACCAGGAGGCAATTCAGGGAACTATTTGCACAATACAGAAATAGGGTACCTAACTAAGGGTTAAAGTAGGCTCTGCTAAGAAGGGAATGTCTAAACTGTGGCAAGGTAAATGTGCAAGGTGAAGGAGATAGGAAGAGAGTCCCATTTTTTTCCTTTGTAAAGAACACATTTTTACAAAATTTTATATTTTAAAAATGTGGGGTACAATTCAGGGTTAGGTATACAAATGTTCATTATGCAGGTACTCTTGTTGATGAGGTGTGTACCCCCTCTCCTGCCAGATTCCCACTACTGCCAATCCTTTTCTTATAGTATTATGATAATTGTTCAAGATACGTTTATGAGTGAGAATATGTGATACTCAGTTATTTGTTTTTGTGATAGATTACTCAGTATTTTAGGAAAAAGCATAGGAAAAAAGCATGGATAATTCTCAGAAGCAAAAGAACATAATATGGATGGGAAACAAAGATTCAGCCTCACTGAGGGTAGTAAGCAGGGTGAGGAATGGGAAAAATCGCAGATGGTTATGGTGAATGTATTGGGATAGGTTGTCCAGGTGGGAGGTTGTCCTGGAATGAATCCTTATCCTCTCACACTATCCCTGCACAGGCACCGTGGAAGTCTTCTGCTGTATGTAAGGTGTGAGAGTTGCTCCTGACAAGGAAGGCATGAGTTAAGGAGGTATTCTCTGTGTTAGGATCTCAGAGAAAAGGAGTCAGCAAAGCCAATCCCAAGGCTCAGCCCTCCCTTATGTAGCAGCTGAAGTACATCTCTTCAGTCAAGGGTGTCCTTTTCAGTTTCATGAGTTCCCAGAGAGGGATAGGAAGAGGAAGATATTAAATGAAAATGACTTCAAGAAACAGATCTGTGTATTGTCAGATATGAGGAAGGGAAGTGAGAGGAGAGAAAAATTAAATCCACCTTCTCCAGGGTTTCAGGTCAGTCCAGAGGACATTTGACTTGGCTCTAATGAGGTCTGTGATGAGGCAGAGGCCTGTTGACTTTTGTGAGAAGTCACTTCCTCTTGGTGCCCATAATTCACTAGGTGTATTCATAGCGTCATCTATGATCTGGGTTTGTGAGATCCTTCTACCACATAACATCTGCCCAATTACAGAAGGGAACCATTTTCCTAAGAACAGTAGTGAAGGAATTCAAATGGCGTCAGATGGGAAGACAGATCCTGAAACAGTTTCACTGCTAACACAGGAGGGTGACCACTGTAGGGGGCAATCACGACAACAGAAAAAATGCACTTAGCAAGTCCTGCTGATCATTCAATTAGAGGACTCTCCCTTTTTTGAAGTAAAGCAATTATTTCCCATGTGCTTGCAACTTTGCTTAGTATAACATGTTCAAACTGTGAAAGCCATTTGATTAAATACAGAAGTGAAATAGAAAAGTCCCCTTTATTGGAAACCTAAATACCAGGGAATAGATTGTCTAGCCCTTGATGGTCATGAAATTATAGCTATTTTGTCTTTAGAATTAGTTGTGACTTGTCAACTTTCAGATTCTGTGTCCTGCTGAGGAAGCAGACTGCTTGCCAAGAGACAATACTGGGTAAAGACTGTATACTACTGGGATCTGATCTGACATATCCACGAAAGAACAAATGGCATGGTCAAGGGGGCAACTGAAGGGACTATCCACAGAGGTGTGGGCAGCAATAAAGGGACAATAGGTAGAAGAACACTAGGACTAGCAGTAAGTGGTATAACAATCTAGACCTGACCAGGAAGGAGAGGGCATAATTACAGGAATGCAGAAGGGGTCACTTTTCAGGAGCTGGGGCCTTTGGTCAGAAGGCCAAGACACTGCCAGACATGCCTGGCAGGAAGTAGGGAGTAAATCTCTTATCTCTGGTTTCACCAGCTTATCTTCTGCTAGTGCCTTACATTGGCCAAACCAACCTGGAAATCAGAGGACGTGGAACTCTAGGTGGTACAGCCCATAAGTGAAATACACCTTCTGGGGCCATACAAAGTGGGGATCTGGAAGTACAAATGCAGAATAACCAGTATACAGGATAAGGAAGCCAAGCCAGGCTCCCCACAGTTAACCCCCTTTCCTCATCCTACCTACTTACTTCATAGGCTGCTGGTTCCCGTGAACTTCTTTTCCTATCCAGTGCCAAAGACAGCATTTTAATCTTCCCCTTTTACAACTACTGTCAACATTATGCCCATTTGTAGTAATCTGTGGGAGTCTGAAGATGAATCCTGCTTTCTGTGGGTAAAGTCCACAAGTTTAGACCGTGGTCATTCTCCCTGCACCACAGTTTCCTGAAGATAGACATTCTAAAGTCCTCTGAAGTTTATTGAACATGTTTTTGGTTTTATACATTAGTCTCAACTTAATAAAGAATGCTAATGCTTAGTGTTACTGTGTGTTAGACACTCCATTCTCATTTAATCATGTCAACTTCTCTGGGCCACAGCTTTAAGTTTGTTGTGAAATGAGGTTGGTTATATTTCATTAATTAGATAAAGTAATTTACCTAAGCACTTACTTCTAAGATCTGAAACCAAATCTAGAAAATTACCAAACCCAGACAACCTTTGGGCATCAACGTTCATAAATTAAGCTTCAGTCAACAACTTTTACCTTTCAGAAACTACCTTTTTTCTACCCTCTGGAAGGTATCATCTTTACCATCTCACATCTCTGCCTTGTGATTTTATCCTTCAGATTAGATATTATTTCAGCTCACCTAGTAGTCTATGTTAGTCCTAAGCCTAAACTTTGATTTACCATAGAGTCTAAATAGTTCCAGAAGTCTCTGATTCTATATCTCTTGATTCCAACGTGTCTCTTTTCTTTCAAGAAACACTCTGTAAAGCTTTCCAATATAGTTCTAATGCCACTTTCTAACCTCCCTGCAGAAGCAAATGACCAAATAGTTACCAAATTGTCTGTTTTAGATCAACTCATTTATTGATGCACAATCATTTTTTTGATGGTCATCCTGCAAAAAGATACTGATACATTCATTTTAATGAATATTTTGGTTTGTGCTTGTTAAGTTTTTGTAGACATTGTAGTCTAATAACATGACACTATGACACTCTATAATTTCTTCTAAAAATACTTGTTGTATAACATCTATCTAGCCAATGATCCTATTCTTTATTATAAAACCTTAAAATATTCTTTTATTTCCAGGTAAAAGAAGTTCTGCTGTATTTTGGGACAAAAGTGAGAAGGTTTATATATAAGTAGCCATGCTCAGTTTTCATAATGTCTGCTCAGTATCCAGCTCCTTCCGGCTCACTGGCATCCCAGGACTGGAGTCCTTGCACACCTGGCTCTCCATCCCCTTTGGCTCCATGTACCTGGTGGCTATGGTGGGGAATGTCACCATCCTGGCTGTGGTCAGAGTAGAGCGCAGCCTGCACCAGCCCATGTATCTTTTCCTATGCATGTTGGCCATCATTGACCTGGTTCTGTCTACTTCCACTATGCCCAAACTTCTGGGAATCTTCTGGTTTGGTGCTAGTGACATCAGCTTGGATGCCTGCTTGGGCCAAATGTTCCTTATCCACTGTTTTGCCACTGTTGAATCAGGTATCTTCCTTGCCATGGCTTTTGATCGCTATGTAGCCATCTGTGACCCATTACATCACAGCACAGTGCTCACTCATATGGTGGTAGGTCGTTTGGGGTTAGCTGCCCTCCTCCGGGGGGTTCTCTACATTGGACCCCTGCCTTTGATGATCCGCCTGCGGCTGCCCCTTTACAAAACTCATGTCATCTCCCACTCCTACTGTGAGCACATGGCTGTGGTTGCCTTGACGTGTGGTGACAGCAGGGTCAATAACATATATGGGCTGAGCATTGGCTTTCTGGTGCTGATTTTGGACTCAGTGGCTATCGCTGCCTCCTATGTGATGATTTTCAGGGCTGTGATGGGGCTGGCCACCCCTGAGGCCAAGCTTAAAACTCTGGGGACGTGTGGTTCTCACATCTGCGCCATTCTAATCTTCTATGTTCCCATTGTCGTTTCTTCCCTTATTCACCGATTTGGTCACCATGTTCCTCCTCCAATTCACACCCTGCTTGCCAACTTCTATCTCCTTGTTCCTCCAGTCCTCAATCCTATTGTCTATGCTGTCCGTACCAAGCAGATTCGAGACAGATTTCTCCAAATCCTGAGGATAAAAACTAAAATTAAATGACTGTTATTTCCTTCTCTCTCAAAGAAGCTTATGGAGAAGGTGTTTAAATATAGTGGAATGCTTCCCATTGGGAATTTTACAGTCAGAGATATTAGGCCCTGTGGTCTCCAACTTTTATAGTTCCAAAGGAATAGTAAGAAAGTATACTTCCGGCTACTTGGAAGGCTGAGGCAGAAGGATTGCCAGAGCCCAGCAGGTTGACGCTGGAGTGGCCGTGAGTGTGCCACTGCACTCCAGCCTGGACAACAGAGTGAGACTCCAACTAAAAAAAAAAAAGTATTCAACTCTAAGTTCTAAAGATGGAAGATATCCAACTTACACTAAAGAATATTTGAACCTCAAAGAAGGTAACCAATGACAACTATGTTAGTAACAAACAGCTAATGCTTATTTAGTATATGCGTCAGTAATTCTTACACGTATCCTGATATTGTATGAGGCATAACTGTTCACATTTTACATGAGAAATTAAGGCATAACACCCTTGCTTTGTGAACTTAAGTTGCCTAGGTTCATGTTTTGATTGGAGTTTTTAATACATTGTGGTGCTATGTACTAATACTTTCTACTCTGTTTTATATGTATATCCTAAAAAGTGAGTAAATCCTAAAAACTGAGTCATTTCCTTAAGGCTGCCTCAGCTACAAGAAAACCCGAGTTAAGCCTTTAGTAATTGATATGCTGTTAAAACTGCTCGTATTAATACAACATGTAATGTTCTAGATGACTCACCTGGATGCCCAGCTGGTATGGGGATGCCACTCATTAAAGAGAATGTGGTTTGAAAAAAAACTGCCAGTTCAGTTAAGGAAAATGAGACAAGACGGCCATATCTCAGCGTTGCCTTTGTTATATTTTCTCCACAGGCCTGGAGCGTGTGAGGGTTCCATGGAAAGGAAAATCTTCCCTTTCCACATAAGCCCTCCCTGAATCCTGATCCAGCTGCAGAATTCCTGCTCATAGTGTGCTATGTTCTTAAAGTGGATCAGCACAAAATAAAGTTATGAGTTATATAACTCATGGAGACATTGACTTTACTCTCCAGGCTAAATGTTAGCTCAATGTCTAGAAAGTGGTTAAGATGAATAGAGCATTTAGCTACTATAGATTGAAAATACGGACACAGTTCTCACAATCACACTGTAAGGTAAGACTTATTCTCTCAATTTTTCAGGTAAAAACAAAACAAAAAACCGAAGTAGCCAGAAGTAGAATTGTCCAAGATTATTCATCCTATAAGAGTTAAAACCAGGAATTGAGCCCAGTTTTTTTTAAACACTCTAAATCTCCTACCTTCTCTGATCATCATTTTCTTTAACTGTGAAGGGAGCTGAAAGAGTTTTCTCTATGAGATCTGAATTGTTATGCATTTAATACTCCCAAAGACAGCATATATTAGCCATACCCATTATTTCCAAAACTGGAAGAGTAAAGGTCAAAGCAATCTCCTTTACCTTGCTCCTTTCCAGAGGAAGAAAAAAGGGTAATGTGGGATTAAATCTAGGTCTGCTTGCTAATTGCATAAATACATAAACTAAACAGAAAAAATTTTAATACACTAGTCTTTAGGTACACAAACTGTATCATTGGGCATGATAGAAAAAACAGTCAAGTGCAAAGGAAAGTTCACTACATGACAACCAGAGAAACTGATTTCTCATTTTGCTTCTCCTAGTCCAGTGAATGGAAATTGCCCCACTATTGGGATATATGAGATTTGCAATCATTAGGATTTCAATTACCTGTATATTTCCTCTTCATACCATCTCTAACTTTCAGCCCATCACTCCATAATGAGCAGCTTTCCTTAACTTTTCATCTTTGTGAGCTTGGAGGAGTTGAGTTCTCCCTATGAATGGAAAAAACTATATGAGTCTTCTGTTTTACTCATTCTCATCATGATTGGCGACCAGAGGAAAATGTTTGGAATCAGTGCCAGATATATGTTCACTACCTCTCAGGATACTCTGTGAATCAGGAGAGAGTGGGCAAGGCCCAAAGATGCAGAATTCAGAAATCTGAAGTGATTTAAAAATTGGTGTCAGATTGGCTATGGAATCTGTATTCTGTATTTCAATATGGAAATTGTGAAATCTGGAAGCAGTCAAGTGGCATTAAGCTGGCCACCTAAGCATAAAAGGTGAAGGAGCTTACAAACATGCAAGGAGCCATGGAGATTGTTTTGACAACTTTTAAGTGCACATTGCAGATTTCCCATAGCAGGGAATGTAGTTGACTGATATACTTTAGCTGGCAACAGCTAAGGCTATCTATGCTTCTGCCAAGGCCACACTTCCCAGTAGCTGTTGGAGTGATATAGAGTAGCCCTGTTTGAGACAGAACACTGACAGGAAACTATGGCTCCAGGACTGCTGAAATTTTTAGAAATGCACCCAATTCTAAAGACCTTCTTTTTCATTCTCTTTCAGTCTTTTATGGAAGTTATACTGGCATCATTTTCCATTAGTTCTCCCAGCCTCCTGCAGCTCCCTCCCTATTTTTCCTTACAAGCATATCCTCTGTTATCTCACATGTCCAATTCCATCTTGGTGTCTGCTTCTTAGAGGACCCACGAGTGGTCATAACAAACAGAAGGTAATATGGGGACTTGAAACTGGCCCACTAGCCATCTGGTGAATTAGTAAGATGCTGTCCTAGTTAGTAGGTGGGACATAGATAATACAGCTGGAGTAACCCCATTTAATGAAAATACAATAATAATAGCCATGCTGCCTGCATTTTGCCCTGATTATGATTAATGATTATCTATATACTTGCCCAAGGATTTCCACGTCCCAACAAAAACAGGAACCAGATTGTCAAACGACCCTTCTGAGGAAGAAAAATGCTGAACACAGTTAATCTACAACCTGGTTGTGGTCAGACTGATGCCAGCTGGACCACCAGATGGCCACCAAGATGAGCATGCTGAACTACACGTAGCCTACCCTTGTGCATAGTTTCCCACGTCCCCTTTCCCCTTTTAAAGCCCTTCAAATCAGCCTGAGAAATTTGAGGCAATCTTTATGACTTTAGTTCACCATCTCCTCAGTTTGTAGGCTCTTAAAGGCTAATTTTCCTTCCACCAACTTTTGTGTTTCAACTTTTAACTTTCAAGAAACAAGTAACTGAACTTGAGTTCGGTTACAATAACACTTTGCACAATACCTTACTTGATAAACATTTCACTGGTTGTGAACTAATAAAATGTCCAAGCAGAGCAAAATGTCACTATAGTTTGTGATGATTCAAGCATTTGAAAGAATTTGGAGGGGGTTTGGGGGAGAACAACCTACAAAGACAGTGGAGTTCATTGGTTTCTTCTAAGTTGTATTAATTCCCTGCAGAAGGATAATAAAATTGAGGGTTATTAAGCAATTAATTGCTAGGCATGAACACTTAAGGGTCTCTGTAAACAACCAAAGATACAATCATCTCCTTCAATGATGCACAGCTGAGCAGTAAGCGGACAATTGTTAGAGGCACAGAGCTCCAATACATGACATTGCATAGACTCCACGTCCCTTGGTCTGTTTCCAACCAATGAATGAGCACAGAGCTATTAAGGAAGGCCTAATCCTATGAAATACTGGACTCTTCTCATGGAGGCCATTGGTTCAAGGCCATTAACCTTGTCAACATTGTCTTAGAACTGCACAGAAGTCTAAGGCCTTTCATCCTCCCCCTCTCTTTCCCAAGATGAGACTTGCATTGTGATTGTATGGCGTTTTCACCCTCCTCAGGATCCCTCTCTATCTTCCTTTATGGTCACCCTCCCCAAGTCTCTGACATGTCGAATTCCATCTTGGTGTCTATTTCTGGAAAGATCTGTTCTAACACAACTGTGATAAGTCCCACGGAAAAGTCTTCAGTTCTACAACAACAAAAGTTGGTCCTGTGGAAAGAGCTACTAGTTATAAATACAGAGTTCTTTATGAGATCTTTTTGATATTTTCTCTCAAAGCCATTTAAAAAGGAATAAAAGCCATGTAAACTTCACAACACTCAAATGCCACTTCACAACACTCAACATGCTTTCCATTTTTTACTCTGGGAGGGCAGTTCTAGTGCACATATAAACCTAAAGGACCTAGTGTCAGAGGTCTCCTACAGCAATTTGAATTCGAAGTGCAGCCTAAATGCAGAGCATGTCCCTTGAAGCTCTTAGGCATTAATTCACGATTAATGATATGCTAAAAACACAAAGGTACAACTATAAAAATAGACTGAGGACTACTCTGGGCTAGCAGAATCGTACTGTTACAAAATACTTCCTCCATTTTCTCTGTAGAAGCGTGTTTTTTAGTGTTTAAAAAAATTCATTAGCTTTTGGGGGTACAGATAGTTTTGGATTACATGGTTGCTTTGTATTGTGGCAAAGAAGTCTGGGATTTAAGTGTACTCACCAACACCTCCTTTTGTACTCAAGAGGTGATTTTTTGGTCACTCCCCCCACTTTCTCCTCCCTCTTCTGAGTCTCCAGTGTCCATTTTATCATTCTCTATGCCTTTGCAGATCCTTAGATTAGCTTCTATTTGAAAGTGAGAACTTGCAGTGTTTGGTTTTCTGTTCCTGAGTTGGTTCACTTAAGATCAAGTTCTCCAATTCCACCCAAGTTCCCGCAAAAGACATTATTTCACTCTTTTTGATAGCTGCGTAGTATTCCACAGTGTATATATACCACATTTTCATTATCCACTGATCAGCTATTGGGCATTTAGATTGATTTGACATCTTTGCAATTGTGAATTGTGCTGCAATGAACATGTGGGTGCAGGCATACTTTTAAAATATAACCACCTCTGTTCCTTTGGGTAGATACCTAGTAGTAGGATTGCTGGATCAAATGGTAGATCTATTTTTAGTTTTTTGAGAAATCTCTATACTTATTTCCATAGAGATTGTACTAATTTACACTCCCACCAGTAGTGTATACACATTCCCTTTTCTTGCAGCTGTGCCAGTATCTATTGTTTTTTGATTTATTTATTTATTAAATT